TACAACAAACACACAAAAGCATATGTCAAGCACTTGCCTTCCACAATTTAGCTTTTATTTCTTCTATTTCCTTTTTGTTATTTACCAAACAAAAACAAACTTCTTATTTTCCTCCCTTTATTCTCTCCCTAGATTTTCCTTTCTACAAAAAGAAAAAACCGAGTAAATATAAGGAAAAGGGTAAATCAAAACACAGAAATTCATCAGAAAATTCTTCAAGATTAGACCACTGACCACCCAATAGCAAATTCCCATTTTTTGTCTATAAAACTTTTGCCCCTTTTTTTTCTCCCATAAATTTAGCTCAATTCTCTCTCTTTTTTCTCCCTCTAAATGAAAATTCTCTGTTAATTTCTTTACATTTCCCAGAAAATTTTGACCCTTAATTTCAGCTATTTTCTTTATAATTTTTTCCCGTTAATATAACTTTCTTGAATCTTGGCTCTAATTTTTCAATTTCTTGTTGAAAAATAGCCTATATGAGGAGATTTAGCACATGGGGTCTTCAAATATTTCAACTTTACAACTTTATGTGCTCTGGTTATTGGTTTGATTGATTCTTGGTGAGGTTTTAGCAGCTGGGTGTTTAATAATTTCTCAATTTCTTAGCTAAAAATCAAATTTTTGGTCAAAAAATGGCTACAATTGCAATTGAGTCAGCAGTGATGTTTGAGTCCTCACGTCGTTTTGGAGATCTGAGAGGAATCCGGTGGCGTATTGATTTGGGGATTTTGCCTTCTTCTCCTTCGTCAACCATTGATGATCTTCGCCGTGTTACCGCTGACTCACGTAGAAGGTATAAAATTTGTTTTTTTTTCTTTTACCCTTTTGGCTATTTTGCTCGATTCTGTTGATTTTCTTGTTTCTTGTAATAAAAGGTAGAAACTTTACATAATGGTAACTTTACATTTTGTGTTGATTTTTAATTATAGCCTCTAGCTAGATCATATATCAAGTTGAGGTTTTGTATGCAATTTGCTTTTTCTTTGACCCTTTTGGCTGTTATGCTTGTTGCTGTTGATTTTCTTGGTTATTTAATTTGAAAAACCAGTAACTTTACATAATGGTAATTTTACATTTTCTGTGATTTTTAGTTATAGCCTCTGATGCCATCATATCTCAAGTTGAGGTTTCGTATTTTGTTGCCAATGTTTTTGGAGAAGATATGCAATTTGCTTTTTGGCGTTGACCCTTTTGGCTATTATGTTGGTTTCTGTTGATTTTCTTGTTTGTTGTAATAATAAAGTAGAATCTTTGCATTTTTTTTGTTGATATTTAGTTATAGGCCGGAAACAACCTCTCTGCCCTTCCAAGGTAGGGGTGAGGCTGCGTACATCTTACCCTCCCCAGACCCCACTTGTGGGAATATAGTGGGTTGTTGTTGTTGTTGTTGAAATTTAGTTATAGGCTTTGTTCACATCATATATCAAGTTGGGTTTTTGTATTTTGTTGCAGATGTTTTTGAGATGTTCTCAGATTTCTAATCTTTGATTTGTCAACAATATATTGCATGATATGTTAAAAAGTGCAGATTTTTTTAAAATCTAATAAGTTAACAAATTGGTAAAAGTTCACAATTTTGCATAAGTTTCTGTGAAAATTTGCTGCAAGCCTTTTACATTCCTGAATCAGTTTCGTCTGGTTTCCTATATATTACAAACTGCAAGCAATAGCACATAGTTCAAATTGCATAAGCTACTCATCAGCTTTGCAGTGGCCTATTTCTGGCTGTTGCTTTTGTGGATTCGGTAATTTAAAAAAATTGGAATCCTATTTTGTTGATGTCATGCCATGTGGCTTCATCTCTCAAGTTAAGGTTTTGTGTTAATGATGTATTGACATGTTTTCTGTAGTTGCTTGTTTGCTGGTATAGAATATTATGTTGCTAGCAGTTGACTTGTGTGGTCATCTTTTTGTCATTGTTTTTTTGTCAGTTTATTTGGAGTCATTGTTCTGAGTTTTATTTACATGTTATAGTTTTGTCTAATGGTGTATTGGGTTGTTTACTGAATATCAAATGGTCATGTCTTGAGGGTTTTCTTTCTCCAAGTCTCTACATGGGAGATTGTGGGTTTTGATCGTACTGTTTCTTTTCAATTTCATGATCTAGATTCCAGTGTGTTAGTTTTCTTTTTATTTCTATGTTCTCAGTATGATAAAGAGGTTCTTAATACATAATGTTTTTGTGTAACACGTTTTATGTTTGTGTAGGTATGCTTCTTTGAGAAGACATCTTCTTATTGATCCGCATATTCCTAAAGATGGAAGTAATTCTCCTGATCCTGTCATAGACAATCCATTGTCACAAAACCCTGGTAGGATATCTGCATCATATTTTCAAGTCATTTTCTTGTCTCTTAGTTTTAGCAAGTGCAATGCTGAAAACTGTTCAAGCTTGAGCACCTTCGAACATTTGAATCTTGTTAATTAGACCATCCTGAGGAAACAATTATTTGGGTCCTGCAATATGAAATGTATATCTCCATTTTACTCAATCTTTCATTACAAAGTACTTAGAATAAAACTGTAACTTGTCATTGAGTACATGCATATGATTGGTGTGGTAATGCAGATAGCATGTGGGGTCGCTTCTTCAGGAATGCTGAACTGGAGAAGATGGTTGACCAGGATCTTTCGCGTTTATATCCTGAGCATGGTAGCTATTTCCAGACTCCTGGATGCCAAGCCATGTTGAGGAGAATTCTACTACTTTGGTGCCTTAGACATCCAGAGTATGGTTACAGACAAGGTAAATCATAATGTTGACAAACTTATTATGCGCTACTGCTTACTGTGGAAGCGTAATTGGCCTTTTCTAGTTTGTGGCGTCTTGTATAAGATATATGTTCAGTTCTTAACTAGTGAATCAAGATGAAAGTCCTTCAAGCTTAGCAACCAGAGTGCAGGCAATCATGATCTTGAATTTGCCATGTAAACCTAGTGGCAAAATCGCTAATCGTCTGTCCTGTTTGTCTTCTCATTATATTAATGAAGAAACTTTCTGCTTTGGTTTGCAGGGATGCATGAACTGTTGGCCCCACTTCTCTATGTCCTTCAAGCTGATACGGAGCAGCTTTCTGAAGTTAGGAATCTTTATGAGGATCATTTTGCTGACAAATTTGATGGGTTCTCATTTCATGAAAATGATTTGACATATAAATTTGACTTTAAAAAATTCTCGGAATCTGTGGAAGATGACAATGGATCTCAGAAGAGTCCAGTGAAAATTACTAGTTTAAGTGAACTTGATCCGAAGGTTCAAGCAGTTATTTTATTAAGTGATGCATATGGTGCCGAAGGTGAGCTTGGTATTCTTCTATCAGAGAAGTTTATGGAGCACGATGCGTATTGTATGTTTGACGCTCTAATGAGTGGGGCTGGTGGTGCTGTTGCTATGGCGGAATTTTTTTCCCCTTTACCATATGGTAACTCGCATACTGGATGTCCCCCTATCATTGAAGCTTCAGCATCATTATACCATTTGCTTTCGCTAGTCGATTCTTCTCTCCACAGTCATCTTGTCGAACTAGGGGTTGAACCACAATATTTTGCGCTTCGCTGGTTTCGAGTACTATTTGGGCGTGAATTTGCGCTTGAAGACCTGTTGATAATCTGGGATGAAATTTTTGCATGTGACAACAAGAAGTTGGAGAAGCCTTGTGAAAATGATACCGAGTCCAGCTCTGGTGTCTTAAATTCATCCAGGGGAGCATTTATATCAGCTTTTGCAGTTACTATGATACTTCATTTGAGGTCTTCATTGCTTGCCACCGAGAACACTACTACTTGCCTCCAAAGATTGCTAAATTTTCCAGAAGATATTAATCTAGGAAAACTGATAGCTAAGGCAAAATCATTGCAGTTGCTGGCAGTGGATGCCAACAATTCAGCTCCATTAATTGATCATACTGGGATCTATGGTAAAAATCAGTCAACGGTTGTAAGAGGTCATAGCCATTCAGTTGATTTAAGCTCCCCAAAAACTCCTCGAGGTCCTGTAGTACCTGAAAGCTATTGGGAAGAGAAGTGGAGAGTTTTACACAAGGAAGAAGAGCGCAAGCAAAATAGTGCGGAAAAACAAGTTCCAAACCGAAGAAAAGGTTGGTCTGAGAAAGTGAGGTTGCGTCTTACTAGAACTGAGTCTGCTCCAACTCCATCTACAGTTGATAATGGAAAAAAAGCTCCCAAGTCAGTGAGGAGAAGTTTGTTGAAAGATCTTGCTCAGCAGCTTGGTGCTGATGAAGATATAGAAAAGCTTATTGATGATGAAAATATAGAGCAGGAAGCTCCAGTTGACGTTGTCGGACAAGATTGTAATGATGGAAATTTTACTTGCACGTCTGATCAGTCATGCTCCACTGGAAGTGCCGCTAGTGAACAGAATTCGTCTATTTTCTCAGATCCTCCAAGCCCTATTAGTGATGCAAATGATCAGGAAAATAGATCTGAAAGAAGTAGTGTTGCATCAAATTTCTCAGCCGATGAAAATGATGCTGATGGAAATAGTGGTGAGGCATCTTGTACCAATCTAGAAGTCTCACCCCTTATTTCTGTTCCCCCTCAGCAGACCTCGCTAAAATCTGAAGAAAGTGCTGACTCTGGGGGAAAAGGCCCAGTAGGCTTTAAGGAGCGGAAACTTCTATCTGGTAAATTTCAGTGGTTATGGAAATTTGGACGAAATGGTGGTGAGGAGACGTCTGAAAAAGGTATCTGTGACTCCACGAAAGCTTGCAATAGTGGGAATTATCCAGACAGTGCTGCTGATACATCTAATAACAGTGGAATTAGCAAGGGAGAATCTGTAGACCAGAATTTAATGGTTAGTTTGAGAAATCTCGGGCATTCAATGCTTGAGAATATCCAGGTAAGAATAATATCATGCTAAACTCGTCTATATTGTTTTAACTTATATCATATCAAAAGTATAGAACTTACATGGATTTTCGGAACTCACCTGCAACTTACTTAGGACAGGTTCTATCCATCCATCTTATTACGATTAAACCAAATACATTGAGTTGTCTACTTAGATCCATCAGTACATCTGTATCCACATAAAGTAATGTTATATTTGCGTTATTGAGAACCTTCTTTGTGTTATTTATTTCTGTGATTTTGCAATAACAGCAGTCTGTTTATGTGATAACTGTTGCACTATGTACTTATCTACCAACGTAAGTTATATACTATGCTCACTATGATATGGTCTGTTCATTAATTCAAGAATCATCATTTTGTGCAGGTGATTGAATCAGTTTTTCAGCAAGATCGCGATCAAGTTGGGACCTTAGAAAACCTTTCAAAAAATGTTCTAGTTGGTAAAGGACAAGTAACAGCCATGGCAGCTCTCAAGGAGCTTCGGAAAATCAGCAACCTCCTCTCGGAGATGTAATGAGACATAGAGTACGTTAAATATGTATATATAGATTTAGTAATTTAAAGCACTCGAATGCAGAATAATCAAGTCCTATTCGGCTTCTCATATCTCTTGATTGTGAGTGATTCAAAATTTTGGCATGTACCCGGATCTTATTATGTAAATACAAAATCCCCTTCAAGTTTCATTGCTCAATTATGAAATGTAACAGTGATATGTTGTTAGAAGTGCAGTTCTGCTTTCCACTTACAAGCTATGAGGGAACTCTCTCAAATAAGTTGATGGTTAGCTTAAAATTAATCAAATTCTGATGATGTCTTTGATTTGAAAAGAAGGGTTTATATGGTAGTTGTCAAACCTCTTGCAATAATTCAGCTACAGTTGAACTTCTCTATAACAGTCTCATTTGTTCCGAATTTTTTTGGTTATAGCGAAATGCTATTATAGAGAACATATGTTCCATAAAAACTTGACTTTTATATTGAATGGTTGTTATGTACTGTATAGAGATGTTGATCGCTGTAGTAGTAAGAGTTATCGGATGTTGTATAGAGATGTTGATCGCTCTAGTAGTAACAGTTATCGGATGTTGAATGGTCTGGTCAACTCGTTCCAATCCTGAGTGTCCCGAAAACCACATTTTCCAAATGAACTAGAGCTAATCCGAATTGATCTTATTCTTTTGTAATGAAAGTTATATTTTTAGACAATGAATATGTAGAGATGTATTCCTTAAAAAAACGAGAAGTATTTGAGTGGGTCCCAGAAAGGAAGGGGAAATTCTTTTTGCTATTGCAGTTTCTTGGGGTTGACACTTGATTGATTAGATGGAATAAGGAAAGAAATGTGCAGAAACTCGTAAGAAAGATAAATTCCATTTCTTTCCATCATAATATTTGGACCCCTTTAGAATTTCCCAAACACAGATCTCCAGTTGCTTAAAGTTAAATTATATATGTGCAAGTGGCAAGATGTTAGCATCTCTTCTACTACATCTACAATTCTAAGTGAAGTCCAAAACGCAGGCCTCACATTTGGAGAAATGATTCAATTCCCATATACCAGAATAACAATGTTGTCAGCCCTGAAGCGAGGCTCAAACACATTGAGCGCTTCGCCTCGCTTTGTGGGCGCTTTAGTGTCGCATCAAAGCTCTAAGGCATACTTTTCCTTGCCAATGAGTGTAATCCTGAAAAGATGACCTTAAACAATTGATATTTCACTTTATCATGATCTTTTTTCAATTTCTTTGTCCATATATTTGTTATTCATGCTTGTAATGATTAGTCTTGGACTACATGCACATTTTTACTTTTTCTCCCATTGCGCCTTTTTTCATTAAAGCCCACGCTTTATTTGCGCTTTGCGCTTAAAGCCCCAATGGACCTTAGAGATTTTTTTGCGCTTTTCGCCTTTGATAACACTGCAGAATAATACACTTCTATGTTTGCTTCATTAAGGTCACATGTCACTGATTTACTCTGGGAAGGACGCGAGCACGCAATGGATTCTTCATGACAACAGTGAGTTCCTGCAGTTCAGATAGACCAACGTCGTCTCCATCCACACCCTTCCACTCGAAATGCCAGATCAAATTAGCCACAAAGTACTCTAAATGGAGCATGGCTAAACCATAGCCTGGACATACTCTTCTCCCAGCACCAAACGGCATCATCTTGATATCTCTACTCCCTATTATATCAAATGCTTCTGTTGTATCATGATCTAAGAATCTATCTGGTTTAAAATCCAAGGGATTCTCCCACACTTCTGGATCCAAACCAATGTCCGCAACCATGAAATTGATCGTTGAATCCTTAGGTATGGCATAGCCGTTGAGTTCCACTTCCTCTGTCACCGCGTGAGGCAGCAGCAAGTGAACTGGTGGATGCCGCCTTAGACCTTCCAAGATCACTGCTTTTAAGTAAGGCATTTTTTGTACATCTTCCTCTTTCACTATGTTCGTTTTTCCTTCGTTCGGGTTCCCTGTGTTAACTACCTCACATATTTCTTGGTATAATTTTTCTTGAATAGAAGGGTATTTGACTAAGTTGGCCATAATCCATTGCAATGAGGTGGACGTGGTATCAGTGGCTGCATTGAGGAACTCGCTGCAGAGGCTAATTATCTGTCCAAGATTAAGCTTCTTCTTTTCCTCCGGCAATTCCAAATTTAGCAACGTATCCACATAGCACGCCACAGGCGCCACTTTTGCTTCATCTTCTGTTTCTTGATTCGAACCATCACTAATCTTTTCAGATGATTTAGCCGTCATTCGTGCCTGGATCAGAGGGATAAAGATTCCCTCTTGCTCTTGTTGCAGTTGTACGAGCTCTTCCCAACGATTCTTGAAAATGATCTTTCCTAGTCCTCTCGGGAAGAATTTGATCAGTTTTTTGAATCTGCTATTACTTAGTAGCCACCTCCGTTGTGTATCTTCAATCTGTTTAGCTCGAACCCCCTCGATCTTTTCCCCGAAGCACATTAGTAGAAGAAGACAGAACATGGCATGCTGAAAATGATCAATTAATCTCGCAACTTGTCCAGAGTCTGATTGAGCATGAAGGAGCCGTTGAATAAGGATACTGAGCGCCCAAGATCGGGCGTTTGAGTAGCACTTGACGCGAGATGGTTGGACGATTTCAGAGGTAAGGTTTCGACGAAGGAGACGCCATAAGGGGCCATAAGGGGAAAAGCTAATGTTAACCCGTTGACTATTAACAGTCTGCATATCCTTTGGCCGATCAGAGAAAACAGCGCTGTGCTGGACTAAAGCTTGGTAGGCTAATGAGTGGCTAGCGACGAATATGGAAGGACGAAGAGATCCAATTCTGAGGTTGATGAGAGGACCATACTTAGTCTTGAGGTCCCTGAGGATGAGCTGTATATCGGCATTAAACCACAGTAAGCACCCAATCGCGCTAAAAGGGAAGGGCCCAGGTGGGAGTTTCTTGTTCTTGTGGTTGGATTTGGAGAAGGTTAATAGATTGAAGATGGATTTCAAGAAGAAAGAGATACATAGAGTGATGATTATCATGAGCCATGATTCCATTGTTTTTTCTGCTCCACTTTCTAAAGTCTCCTCTTCCTTCTATTATACTATATAGAACTGCTTATTGCATCTACTATTCTACAAGTTGACAATTTTTTTTAGTAGTGTTGTCACATGTGTGAGGCGAGGGGAGAAGAGAGACAGAGAAACAATAATTAAAAAAAAAAGGAAAAAATAATCATAATAAAACGCCATGACTTAAATTATGCAGACGAATAAAAGTAGTAAACCAATATTGCATCGAACTCTGGGAAATAAAATTAGTAGTACATGATAGCAGAGGCGGACCTATATATTATAATGATGGGTGACCGGACCCTATAAACTTCGGAAAAAATCTTGTATTTGTATATGTATATACCTTGAAAATAGTTAATGTAAAGCGCTTGGCAACCTGAACACTAAAAGCCTTCAGCGTACATTGATTGAATAGAATATTGCACCCCTGACGCCTAAAAATCCTGAATGATAGTTTATTTTATTGGTGCAGTATGTAAATGTTGATTTTATTGAATGTAAGTGTAATGTGGTGGAGCTTTATTTAAGCGTAAGGTAAGGAGTCAATTTCCAGGACTTGATAGACCCTACATTTTATGTACTTTATGTATAAAACAAACATTTGCTGTATGAATGAAAAATCAGCTCCAATTTCATCAGATTAGCTTCCTTTCTTTCATGTTTGTTTTCTCTTTCTCTCCTATATTTATTAGCTCTGAAAGTCTATAAAATATGAACTATCTTATGGTCGTCTGTTTTGTGAGTTAATATTAAGCCAATGACATTAAAAAGGCTTAAGCTAGTTTTATTTTATCTTAAAGCCAGATTCTGTGATTGAGATGAATGCTCCATCACTAGTGTAATTATTTAATCGTGGTGAGCTACTAGATTAGTTTCTACTTCAACTCAATCAAATATCAACAATATCCACCAATAACCTTAGTTAATTTTGTCACAAAATTCCATCTCCATAAGACTATTGGTGATGTACAAGATAATTAAAATGATTATAACTTACATTTCCATTTTATGGACGTAAACAAATAGATTAAATGTCCTAGCTTAAAACATTTTGAAATATCAAAACAACAAGCATAGTGGCCTAGTGGTAGAATAGTACGATACAAACCTAGGTTCAATTCCTGGCTGGTGCAACAAAGTGCTGTGATAATAAATGTGCACATTGGTGAAAACATGGGTCTTCAACGACTCTCATCATAGACGATATGGTTTGTACCCAATTTTTAATTTTTTTAACTTATACCCATTGTTTAAATAACTTCAGGCTTTTTTCTCCTTTTTCTTCATCATCATCATCATCTTCTTCTTCTTCTTCTTCTTCTTCTTCAGATAACAATGATTTTATATGGTGTTTGTGAATATATTTCAAGGAAGTTTATGATGTTTTACAGTAGTGAGCTATTGTGGCGCTTTAGTTTTTACTATTGCTTAAGGTTTTTTCTTTTTCTTTTTCTTAATTACAAAATGGGGTCGTTAGATTTATTATTGTTTTGACAAATCGATAATTGAGGTTTATTCTTGATGATATTTGGAGGTTAAGTTTCAAATTTGAGCTCATTTGGAGTAGATTTAGGTATTAAATCGTATATTGGATTGTTAAAATTTAAAGAACAAATTTCTGTTTCCGGGCAATTTGCACTCCAGGCCTATTTGGCCTTAAGCGCATGAAAACGTTGGTTGTACTTCAGACCCTTTGGCCTTAAGTGCATCTGAAGTGCAATTTTTCACTTCAGACTTATTGGCCTTAAGTAAGGGTGCTTATTAGGTGGTTAATTACGCTTAATGGTTCAGTTTATCGGTTATCGAATTATAAATATAGTAATCCACTAGTCATCCAATAAGGCAATGGGTGGATTGATATCGGATTAATGATTATCGGGCAGTTTATTGGCTTAACAAAAAAAACAATCAATACCAAATGGGGGAAGAATAAAAATAGAAAGTCTACCTTGACTCTACTCTCTAGTGATAAAGTCTACCATTTTGAGGAAATATTCTCCCTTGAATCCATCGAGAGATTGTGATACACTTTTTGTTCTTATATCATTCGATCCATCAAACACCTTTGTCTTTTTTCTTAAATCTGCATCTTAAGGCTCATAGTCAATCAAAATCAATTTGAAATGAATGTTTTTGGTCGATTGGTTCTACGGAGTT